CAGATACCCAGGCATTTGGGAAATTTCCCAGATACCCAGGCATTTGGGAAATTTACCAGATACCCAGACATTTGGGAAATTTCTCAGATACCCAGGCATTTGGGAAATTTCCCAGATACCCAGGCATTTGGGAAATTCCCCAAATTCCTATAGGTATTTGAAGGCAGGGGGGCGGAAACGTCATGTGTGTGTGTCTGTACCAAAAGAGTGTGTGTCAGTTTAAAGTACCGAAGATGTGTACTGTAGGTTTATACAGTACGTAAGAATCTTGGTTTGTACAGTCTAGGAGAGTACATTTGTTTATTGTTAATTGTTTGATTAAAAATAAGTTTAATATGCATGTAATATATTATTTACATATTTAAATCAACACTATAAAGCCAAATTTTTATGCAAAGAATATAATTTGATTAAAGTTTACAATAAACTACTCATTATTCAAGTTTAATTATAATTGACGACATTGTTCTACAATTTCCTTGACTGTAGTCATGTTGTGTGTCTGTACCAGAAGAGTGTTTGTAAGTTTACAGTACTGGTCTGCAAAGCAGTGCGGCTGGCTTTCTCTTGCCGGACCAGCGCCATTTCCTTTCCCTATATTCCTGTTACCTGTTTGAGGGTGGTATTTTTAAGATTTTGGAAATTTCTTAAATGCCAGAGTATCTGGGAAATTTCCCAAATGCCTGGGTATCTGAGAAATTTCCCAGATACCCAGGCATTTGGTAAATTCCTATTTTTGACATTTTTTATAATTGCTGTCACTCCCTCTATTTTTGATCTTTCGTAATCGATTTGTATTTTACTTTCTAAATTCAGCAATTCAACCCATGGAATTTTCTCCTGCTCCATCTATACCTGCTCCGCGCTCAAACATTAAACCTGTAAAAAACTTTTAAATGCGAAAATTTTCTCATTTGCAATTCACTTTCTCTCCCTTGGGCGAACAAAAATATATTTACACTGTTCTCTGGGAGAAAAAGTTCAATAGTAATGGGATGAACAAGGTTAATTTAAGAAAACTAGTTATATAGGACAATTTTAAAGACTTGTATTTTTTTCTCCAGACTGTTCTAAAGAAGATGGAGGCCTTAGGGACAAAAGCTGAAGAGAGAAAAGCAGAGAGAAGGAAAATTCTTAAAAGGTAAAATAACAAAATTATTTATAAGCGAACTAAGTCTGTAATTAAACTGGTTTTTTTTCTTCTTTTTTAAAATAAAAAATTGTAAGTATGAATTGGTTTAGAAGTAATTTGTAATTAAAACATGTCTAGTAATCATGCATGCTCATTTGACAGGTCCTTGTTTCATGTTTTTTATTTTTTTTCCTTACTCCGATATATCCAGACTTTTTTAAGAGTCTGGTTCTTTATAGTTCAAAAAAATGGGAATTTTGAGGTTCTCTGGTTCAGATTCTTAAATAAGAAACATGGTTCTAATATATTCTAGATTTACTATGTTTAGTTGAAGATATTTTCTAAATTATTTATTGAAATGGCTCGAATTCTCCACACATGAAGTATTCATTTGTCAGTTTGTACAACTTTGGAATAGGAAGAGGACTTTTTGCAGTCGCGGCCATAAGGGGGGTTATTGGGGTTATTTACCCCCCCCCCTAGAATACTGGGGGTAAATACCCCCCTATAGAATCCTCGGGGTAAATACCCCACCTAGAATCCTGGGGGTAAAAACCCCTCCTTAGAATTCTAGGGGTAATTACCCCTGAACATATATTCAGGCCCTGAATAGCAGGGGTTACTCCATTTGCTGCCTCTACAAGTAACCTTTCCAGTTGCCTTGAACCCTTCCCTTCAAAAAAAAAAAAAAAAAAAAAAAATACATTCTTTATTGAATAGTCTGCACTTGTGTAAAGACGACTATTTTCATGATAGTAAAAGTTTTTGCGGTATTTTGCAGATGCCTAAACAGTCAGTAAACTTTTACTTCGGTTACTTCAGTAAAGTTCACTCACACACAATTGGACCTGGTTATAATAAAAAAAATATATATTATGAGTTAATTTCCTAAATACGATTTTTGGACCCTTGTCCGCCCCTGACTTTTTGACCCAAGTTATGTCTTTAAATAGTCCAATAAACATGAGACACAGCACTTGTAAGTTACCAGGAAAACTACTTGGTTTAGAACAACATTAAATACACACTCATTGTACGTCGTTTTCAGTCCACAGTTTTCTGGTTCTCACTGTATGTCTAATCAAGAGCCCTTTGAGCAATTTTCCTGAACTTTTGATATGGGAGCTCGGTAGTAGTTTACCTTTTAGAGAAACTTCAGTTTCAAAACAAATCTATTACAAGGGAAGAAAGTTTGGTCCAGACTGAGTGTCAGGTTTATCCCAACTGTGCAAAGTTATCTTTTTTAGCTTCTTAATATTTTTCAATTTAAGTTGAAGTAAAAAACCGTCTGCTTATTTTAATTTAGAATATATTTAAGGCTACATTTCTATAATAAAAACATAAATACTAAACCCCTGAAAATAAATAAATTTCAATTTTTTTTTTCTTGATTATTGATTTCATTTTACACATTTAATACTTTTACACATTTTTTAAGCAAATGCGAAGTTTTGGCGCAAACACGTTTTGGAACATGTCGTGATTTTGAGACATTCCATAGATTTGAATCTATGATACTTTTCTTCAAGCATTACATAATTTTGTTCTCACAATTAAATTGAACCGAAAAATGCGGAAAATTTTGCATTCAAATGAAGAAAACTTGAAATCATTTGTACTCTTCGTATTTAAAAATATAATGTGGAAAAAACCCCTTTAGTGTCAGATTTGGAACATTAGCAAGATTTGGAACTTACTTCCCCTGTATTAGTGGTAATTTCTGTTTGTCTTTTTGTACGTCCAACTTCAACTTATGAACCCTTTCACTGACCTAAATGTAATTTTAATTTGTTAAACTATTTATGATAATAATTGAGTATTCCAGGTTTCAAACATTTTATTCTGAGTAGATTGAATTTGGAAACGGAAATTTTCCGACAAAGCTGGGTGCCCAGGCTAGTATTATGTTATTCTAGAATGTTTGGAGAAATGGCTTTAGTTCTAGACAACCAGGATTCAGAAACTGTAAACTCGGTCCGCTACTCTGTTCACCAAAATCGACTAGAAGTCAGAAAAGTAAGATTATTTATGATTTTTTATGATAAATATTATCAGATGTTGAAGATGAGCGTAATTAGTGGTATTCAATTGTCCAATTCACACAAGTACCCTATATAAACTCTATATACTGATCAAGGAAAATTTTATTGTTTTCCAAGCTTGAGATATTTCGGTCTTAGACATACATTTCTAAATATTTTAACAGATTCTTTCTTTAACATATCCCGACTAGAATTATGACATATTTTTCACATGTGCAATGGATATAAGTTTAAATATATAGTTTTAAAATTATTAATGAAAGGAAGACGACATTCGAGATGAAATTTTTTCTACTTTTGCTACATTTAAGAACTTATTTAACAATCTTTAGGTTCAGTAGCTGTGTGGGGGGGGGAGAAAGGGTCGAAAAGTGCCATACCAATGGGCTGCTTTTTAACGTCATACCTAAAAGCTTAGAATCATTCATTGAATTATTTATGTGAAACTGTTTACTATACAAGTCATCTGCCTGAAATTACGATTATGTCATCTGCCCCTCAAATTACAATTATATCATCTTCCCGAAATAACAGTTATATCATCTGCCTGAAATTACAATTATGTCATCTACCCCTTAAATTGCAAATATATCGTCTGCCTGAAATAACAGTTATATCATCTGCCTGAAATTACAATTATGTCATCTGCCTGAAATTACAATTATATCATCTGCCTGAAATAACAGTTATATCATATGCCTGAAATTACAATTATATCATCTGCCTGAAATTACAATTATGTCATCTGCCCCTTAAATTACAATTATATCATCTACCCGAAATAACAGTATATCATCTGCCTGAAATTACAATTATGTCATCTGCCCCTTAAATTACAATTATATCATCTACCCGAAATAACAGTATATCATCTGCCTGAAATTACAATTATGTCATCTGCCCCTTAAATTACAATTATATCATCTACCCGAAATAACAGTATATCATCTGCCTGAAATTACAATTATGTCATCTGCCCCTTAAATTACAATTATATCGTCTGCCTGAAATAACAGTTATATCATCTGCCTGAAATTACAATTATATCGTCTGCCTGAAATTACAATTATATCATCTGCCTGAAATAACAGTTATATCATCTGCCTGAAATTACAATTATATCGTCTGCCTGAAATTACAATTATATCATCTGCCTGAAATAACAGTTATATCATCTGCCTGAAATTACAATTATATCGTCTGCCTGAAATTACAATTATATCATCTGCCTGAAATAACAGTTATATCATCTGCCTGAAATTACAATTATATCGTCTGCCTGAAATTACAATTATATCATCTGCCTGAAATTACAATTATATCATCTGCCCGAAATTACAATTATGTCATCTGCCCGAAATTACAATTTTCATCTGCCCGAAATTACAATTATGTCATCTGCCCGAAATTACAATTATGTCATCTGCCCAAAATTACAATTATATAATCTGCCCGAAATTACCAGAGAAGAAATGAGTTAATTAAAGTCGGCAATCTGACGTAATACCAGTAGAAATAAGTAAATCTAACGAAAAGAAGGATGTTTTCGCTAGTGGCACCATGTTTACGGGCTTGACAATAATTATTATTTTCCCAGAGAAAATGGATTCAGAAGAAGATTGATTTTAAAAGCTGAAGAGCTTAACAGGCGTGTTTAGAGAATTTTAGCCCCCTCCCTGGCCGTAAAAATTCTGTTGTTCTATATTTCAAGTCTACTGCATGTCCCATTGTAGCCCATTTTAGTCCCAATTCAAAGCTAAATATATTAAAATATATCCCTCTGTATATAGCTATGTCTAATAGTCTCCAGAATTCGACTACTCCAACTATTCCCAATTCAAGGACCATACATTATAATGTATCTCTCTACTGCAGTGCACATAGCGCTTCGAAAATGTTCAACTACTTTCTAAGGAAAACACCACCACACCTGATTTTAACTATTGCCCCTTGGGGGGGGGGGGCAAGAGGACTACTCCCCGCCCCCTGTATACGCGCCTGAGCAAAAGAAATAACATAGACAACAATCACTTAGTTTTTCAAAGTGTCTTCTATACAACTAACTATAATGTTAAATTCTGAACTTAATTTCATTTTTCTTCTGAGAAAAGATGCCAATAGAGGGATAAGCTATATTAGTTTTAATAAGACCAATTTATGTCATTGAATTGGGTATTACTAAGTGCGAACAAGTTTTTGAAAATCCCAGCAAACACTTTTTTGCGATTATGATACAAATTGCAAAAAATATATAGTTTAATTAAATTTTATTCAACTTATTTAAGAGTAGGTTGATAACGTTACTTTATCACCTTTTTGTAGTTTCATTGAAGATGTTATCTAAAAAATGTAAATAAAAAAATATTTTTTATTAAAAAAAATATTTAAAATCAATTTTTACATTTTTGATCCATGATTCTCTATAGATCTGAATACTTAAAGATCCGATTCCCTTTAGATCAAATAGTTCATAGATCAGATTTCTTAACAGCATTAAAACTCGGATTTGTGGTTTCTTTAGAAAATTGTTAATTCAGTTTCTGTTAGAAATATCCCCTTTCATATACCATAAACTCTTTCTTTTGGTCTTAATTATCATATATTTTTAGGAAGCAGTTCAGCTGTTGTCTGATATTAAGGTGAGATTTTGTACCAATTCAAACGATCGTTGATGGCCATTAAAGATCTTTAATGTTCATAAAGGATCGACAATATTATTGCTAAATTTTCTTAATCCCTTCAAATGCATAGCTTTAAATTGAGATTTTTGGAATTAATCACAAAAAATTTTGAAACAAAAAAAATAAAACTTCATGCATTTAAGACAGGTTTCTTTGAATTGTGTTAACCTTAGAGAAAATCCATCATGATGTGATGCTTTGTAGATTACATTTGATAAAGAAACCATCATTTTTTTTCAGGGAAGCAGTTCTGTGAATGAATTTGATGACTACCTAATGAAGTAAGATAAAATCATTTGATTTGAATTTGATTTCCTCTTCAGTGTTTTTTAAGGGGGTAGAGGTTATATCAGCAAAGCTAAAAATTAGACTAAAAGGCAAGAAGGAAAATATACGATTTAAATGAAACCAGTTCTGAGAAGGCCTAAAATAGCTCTACATGAAATAATTGTATACGTTTTCATTGACCTGTTTTCAAAACCGCTAACCCTCTTTAAGAACACTGTCTTGTGTAATTTTATTAATTTCATATTTTCACAATGTACAATTCTTAAAAGAACTGAAATATATTCTGGAATTATTTTCAAGATGCAAATTATAATTTTTACAGAAACTAAAAATGTAATAGAAATCTAAATTTGCTTCTGAAGCTTAAAATTTTTAAAAATGCTTTTTCACTTATTTTAAGATAAAACCTCATTTGCATTGCCCACATGTAATTTGTGTGAAAAATATAACAAACGACAGTTGCTTTTTGCTCTCGGAGGGGTATGGACTTTGCACAAAGTATCTCCTGGCTCCACAGCTCGATAAAGTGCTGCTTAAAGATGCTTATGACTTATCCTACAGGGGAGTAGCAAACTAGGAATTAAACAATAAACAAGAACTCCATCATCTGCTTATCAACTTATCAACATATCAGCTGAAAGGAACTCAGCAGTATAACCCCTGATAGGTATACAAGCCATGCACAATAGGCTTTCCAACGTAATAGATTATTCTCTTACACATAATTACGTGCAGTTACACGTAATAATTTTCATTTCGTGTAATTTCGCAGGATTACGAGTAATTGGGGATCCATTTCGCGTAATTTCTATAACGTAATTTCGCGAAATTTTGTATTGATTACGCATAATAAGGGAAACTATAAATTACGCGTAATTATGGCGTAATTTCACGTAATTTTTACAACGCAATTTTGCTAAATTTTGTAATGATTATGTGAAATAAGCGAAACTTTTATTTAACCGTAATTACGGCGTAAGTTCGTGTAATTTCTACCAGGTAATTTCGCGAAATTTTGTATTAATTACGCGTAATTAGCGAAACTTCAATTTCGCAAAATTATGCAGTACATTCTACAAAGTAATTTTACAAAATTTTGCAATAATTACATCTATGAAATTTTGAAGTTTTAACTTCTAATTTAAATAAAACAACTAACTTTTAAGGAAAATAATGTCACGCAAGTTGAATCAGAAATTTCAGCCAATACTATGTTGATGTAATTTTGTTCGACAACTAAAAAGTTTAACAAAGGGCCAACAATTTATTTTTATCAAAAAATACACAATCTATAAATTTTCAATTTTCAACGACTTGTTAATATTTCAACCTTCTTTCTCAAGTTTACCTTCCTTGTTTGAAAAAAATATGTCAATAAAATCGTCAAAATATGTTTGACATGGTTGTAGCAGGCATATCCTTACACATACTTTCCTGCTATAATTATTTCTGAGAATTAATATGTACTTTATTTATTACGGAATTGTTTTGTATTACGTAATTTCCCGCAATTACGCATTAATTACTCTTAAACTAAACTTTCTTTCGTAAACGTAATAAATGCGTAATTACACGTAATGCTCCTGCATAAGTGAAAGAAAGTGTTAAGGGTAATTACATGTAACATAATTACAGCTGGAAACCCTAATGCACAATGATAAATGTTTTTTACTTGGCTGGCTGTGAGGACTGGACTACTGTGGAAGATTCCACCTGATGGGGCTTTAAAGGCCTTCAACTCCCCATTAGAATTGCAGTTATGGTTTTCACTGATTTGCTGAAGTTGGAAAGACTTAAACACTTAAATATAAATATAAAGGAAAGCAGGGATCTTCTACTGAAATACCTCATACCCTTCCTCCTCCAAACTTCTTTTTCTCTTTCCTACCTGCTTGATGTCACAAGAAATATTTGGCGAGACCTCTAAATGTTAAAACAAGAAACAAGAAGAAAAAAGAAAATTGAACAGAAAAATGGAAGTGAACTCTCTGATGAGAAGCTTTACACTATCAATTTATTACAGAAAAATGGAAGTGAACTCTCTGATGAGAAGCTTTACACTATCAATTTATTCCATCAGTGAATGGAGACAACATTGGAGATGGGGCTGGGAGATGTCCCCCCCCCTCCATTTCATCTAATGTGTGTACTGTAGAAAAATAGGAAAGCAGAAACCTTAATCTAGTTCTGAAGCTGGCTGCTTGGTAAAACTGCTAGGACGTCTCAAAAAAATCTGTTTTTTTCAATATCAGCCAAAATATGATTGAAAGATGTACAAACAAGAAGAAAATGAAGAACAAGAAATATAGAAATGTCAAAACATTTAAGAATATTGTTAAAAATTTTTAATTTCAAAAAGATGTGTAATAAAACAAGTCTCAGAATTAATTTTTTTTGAATGATTCCAGAAAAGGTTTATTTCTCATGCGCTTCAAATAAATCGAAAAAAATAATAGTTTAGACTGTTCTATTGTCTTTATTTCCCGAACAATGTAATGTAATTTCACTTTTAAATTGTGGACTCACCACCCCCGCTTCCTTGCAGTAAATTAGTTTAAAATGGTTTGTTCTCAAATTTTTTAATTTTTTGTGCTTTCTTTAAATATAAATTTATTTTGTTAGGTTCAATGAAACTATAAATAAGATGGCATATTTGAGTGATGTACTAGATTTGGAGATTGCTGATAATACTGAGGTTGTATTGCTAGATTACCTTTAATGTTGATATTTATAATTTAATTGCAGGGGTGTACATTTTCTCAAAAAACCTTCCCCCCCTTTTGAAAATAATTATTTCCCCAGAAGTGGTCTCTGTTTGTGCTAAATGTAAGATTTTTACTTGTTTTTTTTGCTGAATTTGGGAAAATAAATTAGTTTTTGGGTTGTAAGTATAAAAAAAGAATGAGAACTTTTTTCCAAATTATCAAAAATCATTTCTTCTTCCTCCCCTACAGGGAGGGGGTGGAAGCAAGGTGAAATATTTTGAAAAATATACACCCCTGATAAGGGGGGATGGAAAGCCTTAAATGTAATATTTTGTACATGCTTGCTGATTTTGATATAAAAATGTTTTTACAGAAAGAGAAAAATTCAATTTTTACCAGAAATAACTCAGTTTTGTGTGCAATGCGGTTTTAAGTTAGCTAAATCTATCTAATATTAGATGATTTAAATCTGAATCCCATGCAAAACTGCTTTATTTAGACTTAGTAGACATGAACAAAATATTTCATTTTTGGATGAAAACGCAATGATTCACAGCTTTTAACATAAATTTAACAACTACTGCCTATTGTCTTAAATTAACGCTGTATTTCTCTATAATAAGCATTTAAAAGACATTTTGTTGAGTTGATAGATATAGGGGTGCGGCTAGGAAGCACTACGAGTGAGCATTTGCCACAACTTGTATGTTTGTGAAAAAACTGGGGGATGAAGGCTATTTAGGTGCGACTTGCCATCACCCCCTCCCCTGGGTTTCTGTTTTACCCAACTTCAATCTGTTTACCTATAAACATATCTTCATATCAATTAAGTGGTTCCAGGTTCAAAAAGGATTTATCTGGGCGAAAATTGTACACCCCTTTCACAACACCTAAAAAATTCCATCAAAATTTAGGCATTTGAATCATGCACAAATAGTTTATAATCAAATCTACCCCTAAAGGCTATCTTTGTCCCAAAAACAGCATGTTAGTCCTTAAAATATGTACGTCACAAAGTAAAGTCTTACTCCTCCCTTTAAATGAATTTTCTTTACAATTTGGTCCTAAAGATATATCCCACCTTAAAAAATATAGAAATATTAGATACGCGCAAATATAAATGTATTTAGAAAAATGACATTAAAACAGATGTGTTGTAGGATTTCCGAAATCTGTCTGAAGACTACATTTTTGTGAAGTCCAAGGTTAGTTTGTTTCCTGAATTTTAAAAGACCTTTCAAATGCCACAAGACTTAAAATCATGAAAAGCGAATCAGTATCTTTTATTAATGATCTCAAAATATTCTTTAACAATGCTCATCATTTAGAATGTTGATCCTAAGAGCTTCAAGATGTATATAAACACTGTGCTTGAAAATAAGATGAAGGCCGTTATTCTTGCACCCGCCTCAGCAAATTTTAGGTTAAATATTTTGTCAATCTGCAGAATAATTTATTTATTTGATGTGTAATCCAAAGGGATGACTTTAATGTAGAGATAAAGAGTTGATTGTCAAATTAAAAGTTCCAACAAGACCAAGCTATTTGGGAAATTGAGTCACATCACTTAGGATCCAGCTCTGAACAAACTAGATAATTAGAGATAATTGAGGCCCTAATGGGCACAAACCCCATGCTCTCAAATATAAACCCACACAGAGAAATAGAAACATGAAAAAAGGATAAGGTTTTGAATTTTTAATTAAACCTATTTTTTTTGTTCAGAAGTCATTTTGTGCTATCCTCCCTTCATATAAGTTACTATGCTCTACACACTGATCGTAAAAGAGCTTTTGAGTTCCCAATATTCAGGTAAAAGCATCATGACTAAACCTTTTTAACTTATTTTAAGCCTACCATATTAAACCTAAAACCTAAATATACTGAAGTCTCTATATTGTGAATGTATATTTAGGTATTTTAACATAAAAATAGGGTTTTTAAAAACTTTTGGTAAAGTTCTGTATATTTTCATAAAATTGATTTGGGAGAAATAAAACACAAAGATTTAGGAACAAATTGACGTTTTTGTTTGTTTTAATGTCAGTATTTTGTAAATTTAGACTTGATATTTTCCAAATATTAAAAATTCAAAACTCTGAATATTAAAAAAAATACAAGGGGAGCCTAAAAATTTGCATAATCTGCATGCAAAACTTGTCTTTTGTAACCAAGCCAAAGTTTCCACCTTGATGTACTGAGGAACTGAGGATTATGATCTATAATGATCCATTTTATCATCATCTGATGCAAGTGATTGTAGTTTCTCAACATTGTTGGGCATGGTCCTGCACATTGGTTTCCATTATTTTCGCCTTCATGGAGCTTTGGTCTGATTAAACAACAAGCTTCAGATAAAGCTTCAGCAGCAAGTTATGTGGATAACAGGATTTCTTTTCAATTCTGAATCCAGAAATTTGAAGAGTCTGTTAGGTAACACCGATCATCAGATGAAGTTTCATAGCTGTTGCAAATTATCAATGCACGATATATGTGTCCGTGTCATAATCAAATGGTTCAAACTAGCAGCTTTTTAAGGAAGCTGTAGACAGATTTCTTGGAATGTTTCATGTCAGCATTTTAAAATTTAACCATGTTTTTACAAATTTTTCCAAAAGTTCTCAATCTAAGATCTCTATATTTGTTTTTAAACTCATCCTTGCTCAGGTCACTTTAAGCGCAAGAATGTGTTTTTGATGCACAAGATAGTCCAGGAGAACCAAACCCCACTTCATATCATAGGGATACATGAAGTTTTTTAAATGTTATTAAGGTTGAGGATATCTAGAACAGACTTGACATTAAGATAACTTTCTTGGATATTCTCAGAAATGCCTATTATTATGAGCAATTGCTTACACCACCATCTATGAATTCATGAGAAAATGCCAATCAGAATATTTCATTTCTTTTTGCTATAAAGAACCATCTCTTAATTTGAAATTATATTTATTGAATAATTCTAACAAAGAATTTCTCTTTACAATTTCTCAGAAAGTAAATCATTTTAACTTAAACGCATTTTTTGCCATAACGAAACATTTCTTAGATTTTCCCCTATTTTATGGCTAAATAAGGGCTCCTTCCTGATATTTACTTGTTTTACAAAATGTGTCCCGGCAAGAACTCTTAGACAACACATTGCAGGGTGAGGGAAAACTAGCTGATCACTTCAGTAACTTTTTAGGCTCCCCATATATTTTTTTTATTTTTGGGATATTTTTACTTTTAGTGTTTGGAAAATATTTTTATTATTTTGTAACTATTTTTTACTTGGCCTTAGCTCAGGACAGTTATGTGTAAGAAATGTAAATAACGATTGTATTGGATTTGGAAAGTAAGTTGTTATTAAACCAGTGTTTCTAGAATGCATTATCAATTTAATCCGAAAGTTTGGATGTTTTGCCAAGATTTCTTTAAATGTTATTTTTAAACGATTATGACTCTTAAGATACATCATTTTCAGACCCCTCACCCACTTAGTTCCACACATGAAGTCCTTCTGCCCCTAGATTTTATTATTCTGATAAAAGTTTTTCCTCATTCCCTTCAAAAAGAGAATTTTTAGGCAAATGGTGAAAATGACATGATTTTTTAAAGAACAAGTTAGAAAATTTAAGTTTAAAAAAATTTTGTCCAGTAATTTGCAATTATTATTAATTTTGCTTAATAATTCATTTACACAGATTGGAGGTCACAATTCTCCTTTTAAAGTTATGGCTACTACTTTGATATCTTCCTCCCCCCCCTCAAGTACCCAAGTGCTTCTTAGGTTTGATATCCTGCTGTAAGACATGACACAACAATTTGTAGGTTCCTGGTATATTATCCTAATTTAACTACATTTTATTTCTTGGCAGTGGGTATCTTGAATTTCTTTTGATGACTGGTAAAGCAGAGTTGACCTCTGATACTAAAGCTGAGATAAAATTGTCTCCATCACCGACAAGGTTACCAGTAATTTTTATATTTTTTACTTAATTGATGGATTAAAATACTTTTTTTATGATCTGTAACTCATATCTTTTAATGTGCCCTGGGACCAGATTTAATTAATAGATTTGGTTAAAATTACGTATATTAAACCACTTCTTTTCAGCTTGGCCGGCACACAAGATATTTGGATAAACCAGTGGTACCTGAGACCTGAGCCTGCAATTTTAAAAATTTGGGATAAAACTGCTCAGGTCTAAGTGTTGTTGGGCCTTATTTATGGCTATGGCTTGAGCTTTTGCATTCAAGCTGCATTTATTTTCAAAAAACGGTTTAATATTCTATTTTGCGGATTTTCATAGTAGGAATTTGCGAATTCCGGGTTTTTATGAGAACAAGACTCAACATTTAGCCTTATTCTCCACTAAAACCAACCATTATTATTTTCATTGGGCCTAACTCCTTAAGTCGAGCCAAAGGTCTTGCATTTGTCAATCATGTGACACAAGCTGTCATAAGTGTTGGGTTGAAGATTGGGTCTTAAGTCTTGCTGTTAATTGAACCTGGTCCCTGGACATTTTTGTAATTAAAATGTACATCAGTTATAAAAATTTAGATTTTTAAAATGATCATTGTATTCAAGTTTTATAACTGAATAATGTGCTGCAGGTTGGGAATGGTGGAGGTAAAATTTCTCGGGACAAAGATTAAAGATGGTGGAAAGAAGTCATTCTCAGAGGTCTTTACTCCAACAGGTGAACAATTTTACACTTTTCCCAAGATTTTTGTGTTGGTTGACATATTTGATAATTGTGATACATGCACTAGCTTTGTGTTTTAACAGTAAAGTAAAATTTTTACATCCAGTTTGATCTTTTTGATTAGATGAAGGATTATATGGAGTTATTTTGCCCCACAAAGGATAACTGAAAAAGTGTTACATTTCTTTATTAAACTCAAATTAGGGATAAAGCTCCGGGGTGGGGGGAATATAGATTACATAAGTGTAGTTAATGTAATAAGTTTATCATAGGATATAAATTAAATGAAAGGTGAAAGCTGAAAGGTAGGAAAGGAAGCCTTTTAATTAATGAGAGTTTGTTAAGACCAAAAATTATTGGAAAATTTTAACAAACCCAATGAAATTAAGGAATCACCATATAAATGGGGTTGTATATTGTCAACAGGGAAGGTAAACAATAAATCAGCTTGCTATGCACACAATTCTTTAAATTTAACTCCTAGGGCACTTAGCTGTGTTTTTGCAAATGGGATAAGAAATGTTAAGCAAGGAATTGATATTTTTGACGATTGAAATCTTGGTTCTTGTAAGATTTATCTCAGACAGACACTTTGATAAAGTGTAAAGTTGTTGAAATTATCTGAAACAACAATGTATTGATCAAGTTGAGTACCTTTTAAAATCGGTGTTTTGTGCTATTTTCTACAATTCACTGAACCAAAGTGTTCCCAGATTTCAGAAAAGGCATTTGCCAAGCCAGTTGATCATGAAAGACTACACTTTTAAGGCATTCTAAACCTAGGACAGGAATACAAATTGACCTTGATCATGGATCCTTGCAAAGCTTACATCACAGAATCGAGAGAGTGTAATGAGTTCACTAAAGAATATTACATAAATGATTTATTAACATTTATGATGGAACATTCTTGGCTAAGAACACAAAGAACGGAATGGAATAGAATGGAACTGTTCTTGACCAAGAACACCAAGAATGGAACAGAATAGAACGTGGATGGAACGATTGAAAAAATAATCATCTAGCTTAAAACCCTCGTTCTAGAGCAGAACGGAACGATTAAAAAAAACTTAAAACTTGCCCAGCCCTTATCTCCAGACCTTGAAGTCACTTAGTCCCTTGGCTTGCCAGTAGCACTTCCATCAGACCTTAATCCTTCCTCTGGAGAGAAATGTAGAATGTTTCTTGGTATTGCAGGTTCACACAACCCTTACGGGTTTACCCCCCCCGCAGGTTCACTCAACCTTGACAGGTTTACCCCCCCACCTTTCCCCAACATCTCCACCTTTTGAAGACACAGGACAAACCATGCAATTGTAAACAATAGCCTTGTTGCTCCTGTTGAAAGCCTGATCTTTGCTCTGTTCTGTAGTTCTCTTGTTTCCTGATTAATTCCTCCAACCTGATCCTGTTTAGGTGAATGAATCTCCATTACGTATTTTGTCTTAATAACCTCCACATAGCACTATGCTCTGGCAACCAATCCCTTAGCAAAGCCTGCTATTTCAGCAACATGTGTATGCCAGCCTCTGAAACCTGAAATCTCACCAGCACATTCAAACTTTGATGCCTAGAATGGGTCTCAGGTGATCCTTCGGTACAATTTTACATTCCTTGCTACGACCTTCAGTTGCAAATCCTCTACCCAATCACGACTAGTACCCTTCTTTCTATCCTTTGTCATCAAGGATTTTCCACTAGCACAGAGGATATCATTCTTGTAGTTTGGATAGAACCACTTATCCTTAGCAGGGATACCAGCCAGACCTAGACATTGAATATGGTATCCACTGTTGCATTTGTCACACATAATAATATCCACCTAGTCATGCTTCCACCACATTTCCTGCTTTCACACTATACAGTTTATTTCAGGATTTTCTAAACATTTCTCACAATCCCATCTCAGAAAACTCAGACCAGGAACCTTTTATATTTCCAGATTTGTGATTTTACACTTAGCATTGTACCAGAAGTCTACTTGTCTAGGTGTTCCATATCGTAGTTTACAAAGTAGATTTCTACAATCTTTGTCATTTAAATTGACCCTTACTTTTACACTATCTATAATCATCTACTCCTGCAGGTCCAACTCAACTTTATACTCAAAATTTTTGGTCTTGCTGTTCTTGTCCTTACTGACCTTCAGCACTTGATCTATAAACCAGGATCCTGTTTTAGAGCACAGTATCTGCAAAGACTCCTTCCTTCCATCCAGACTCCTTAACTACTTCCGTATCCTCTACTACTGCAAGAACATTTTCTTTCTCCTTCTCGTGAGAGTTTTTTTTTGTTCACCAAAAACCTGCCTTGGGATTAGAAGGATCACATCAGTACCTCCAACACTGAAGTCTTAAATAGAGTTAAGTTCTCTCCCCTGGCAGAATCATTTTAAGCAGTTTACCCTTGACAAAAAGTCTTTGACTCTTCAGTCCCTGTCAAACTATTTCCGATTCTACAACTCATCTTTTCAGATAAAGTAACAAACAGGATAATTCTTTAAGAAGTGAATCAAGCAAATATAAGCTTGAAAAAGAATTTACTTCTCTCCAAAGGGCTATAGATTCTTATTAACAGTTACTAGACTTGTTGTTAAGGAGGGTTGTTTACTGTTTAGTTCTCATTATTCTCCTAACTATTTGTGGGTTTGAACTCAACCATTTGCTCATGTCCCACCTTCTTAATGCATTGGAGGAAATTAGCACTTTTTGAGTCAGATGCTTAAATTTTCCAATACATAATTATTTTTTACTATAATTTCTTGGGTATGTGCCTATGGAACCTCACAATTATGATATAATAATAATCTATTGCACCAGGTTCCCTAGACTCAGCTGGTCTTGTCAATCATCCACAAACTTGAGTATCCTGAAAACAGTTTCATCTGTTGTAAACAAGCTAAAATAATCTGTTACCAATGTCAGCCCTAATGGATCCAAATCTAGAGATCTTAATAAGGTGTATTCGATTTCAAACCCTACTTCATAGCTCAGGTATATGGTGCTCTGGAGTCTGCATGAATTGCATGAACAAACTCACCTGTTGAAATATTTGCAGTCTCCTCCTAATTCCCCTTCTATCCAAGCTTCTTTTTCAGTACTCAGGGCTATGAATGAACCCAAAACAATTGGTTCTTTCCCATAATACTCTACATTTATGCTATAGTCATCAACATTCTATCATACATTTTCCAGAAGCACTATCATCCAAATAAGTGCTTTTCTGCCAGGGAACTTGATTCTACTGACTTGTCTCCATTCCATGTTTATTAATTCACAATTGGGGAACAGGAGAAGCACTGAGAGTAAATGGTGCAAGCCTTCATCTAATTAAACCATCTCCTCTTAGGCTTCATGTCCTACATTTTCAACGGTAACTGAGTTAAGTAAGAAATTATTTGTTTTTGGTTAGAAACCTCAAGCCTCAAACATGTACAAGCTATCTTCATTCAGTAGTTTTGTTTCACATGTTGAATTGTACCTTCTTTGTGCAGAAGTTTTGAAATAACATTTAAAATATGTTAACTTTATATGATAGTGTAAAATTAGAAAATTTCTCTCCCTTTCGGTTAAACTTGGAATATACTGTTTGCCCTGATAAAAGTAAGAAGTAAGGATGGAAAAGGTAAATTATGTTTCTAAGAATGATATATAATGAAAACTTTTCAGGAGCTGTACCATTAACAAGCTTTCTCATGGACGTATCATGGAATCAAACCTTGTCCAAGTTGGATGAATCTAGGATGGTAGAAGTATCTTGCGTTGACTCCCGTATTTTTGATGAAACTACCACTGTTCCATGTGACCTTGTGTTGACCTGTGAAAAGTGTGCAGATGAATCTTGTGCAAACTATGAATCTTATATGGACCAGGCAATTTCAAAGAATGAAACAATCACAATTTTCACATTTTTTACTTACAGGTCATAAAACAATCTTTTCAGCTACAGAGAAACGATTTCTGGACAAATATCAACATTTTCCACTTCTCTTTTCTTGTCCATATATTTGTGTGACAACTCTTAACCCCATACCCCTCATGTATATTAGGCAAAGAATGAAACAATCACAATTTTCACATTTTTTACTTACAGGTCATAAAACAATCTTTTCAGCTACAGAGAAACGATTTCTGGACAAATATCAACATTTTCCACTTCTCTTTTCTTGTCCATATATTTGTGTGACAACTCTTAACCCCATACCCCTCATGTATATTAGGCAAAGAATAAAACAATCACAATTTTCACATTTTTTACATACAGGTCATAAAACAATCTTTTCAGCTACAGAGAAACGATTTCTGGACAACTATCAACATTTTCGGCTTCTCTTATCTTGTCCATATATTCTTGTAAATATTTTTTTCCTTTTTTCGTTATTTTATGCTTAAATTTAATGAACTTGTTCAGAGATAAGATATTTATTGATAATCTCTTTTTTGTTTGCAGCTTCTTGGATCCAAGATCCAGAATGTTAAATGTTCCCGATCCAACAGATCCAGATAGTAAGCAATAACTTTAAAGCTTTAATTCCAAAAGGAAATGTTTTCATGACTAAAGAAGAAAAATAAGATTCACTTTAGTTATTAAGACTAATTTTAACATAAGAGCCTAAAACTGCAGAATTTGAAATATTTTTTGTATTTATACCTTAATATTATTCTTTTCTAAATAGTTAAAAACTGGCAAAAACTAGTGAGTGTGAAAATTATTGATTATCATAAATATGTTTGAAAGAAATTGTCATTTAGCAAAGTATTTTGGAGAAAAGTTACAGAGAAAAACAGCAGGCTGATTCTTCTGCACATGAAGAATCAATATGGCGTTTTGATGAATCATCAACTGGGCATGGTGTGGTAAGTATATCAAATATTTGTATATTTCTGACAAAGCAAGATTTTAATGAAGGTGACCTGGCTCTTGAAGCATTTTGATTATGTATTTGGATTCAGGGTTCTTGATCCGGGTTCAGAAATTAACTTATCATTAAAAATATCTTATCTATTCAGTTATATTATTCTGTAATGGCTGTTAAAGCATTTTTTGTGGATATGATGGAATTTGTATTTAAAGTTGATACTTGAAGAATGCGAAGAAATCCACAAACAAGTTGATATAGAATAAAAATTTAATATAATGATGATTAAGAAATAACTTTTTCTACCATTGATTTCTTCAGAATTCTATTGAGTAATACGTTCCAATACAATTATTTAGTTTACTTTTTTTCACTTTTTGTCCGGTTTATTAATGGAAACATTTCGTCTGTGGACCATCCCTTCTGGTGAAATATAAAAAATGAATTCATGCTCTTACTTAAAATTTAAGCACTGTAAGAACGTCTTATTAAATCCTAAAGCTAAAATAATTCTGCTCTCTTAGTACGAAAATGATACCTGGCTGGTCTCTGCCAGAATTTAGATGTAATTTTAAGAGACTTTTCATGCAATGTGTTGCAAGTCAGACTCTCAACAGTACCCTATAAACCAAGGGTGGGCCAATAGAGAATTTAAATACTGTACAAATATGAATTCTGTAATACACAATGTTGTCTTGGTTTAGCAGTCATAGAGTTAAGAGCACTAATAGGATAACTTATTTCATGCTTGGAAATATAAAAATGTTAGCTTTTTCATCATATCTAACTCAGGGATTATGAACATAGATAAAGATAGATTACTCATAAGACGACATTTTTCAACTTACCAGATATAAATGTACACAGATGTTTAAAATATTTTCCAAACTTATAGATTACCTAGGTTGGTTGTTTACATTGACTGTTCATATGTTATTGAGTACATGAGGTTTACACGACTTCCGTAGAGAGAAATTTTAATTTAGTTTAATTTAGTCCTAATGAAATATTGCTCCTTAAAATATTGTTCTTCAAATAATTCCACTCCTGAACTTAATTTACACTGTATCCGGGAAGAATGATTAAATGCAGTATATTCAATAATGTAAAATAAACCATAACCGTCTTTTATTTGTAATTTTTCCAACTCGAGTTAAATATATACATTTTTGGAAAAAGAATGTCTTAATAGCTGAGGCTACAGATCGGTGGACATTTTTGCCCCCAACCCTATTTTTTCCAATTGGGATCTCATCTGTGGCGTTACTAAAGTGGGGGGGGGGCAACCTGATTTCGCCCCCTCCTCACTGGTGGTGTTCCAGGAGAGGCTTATATTTTTTTCTAGGGGGAGTGAAATAATTGAATTATAGGGCAAAATTTTTGCAATGCCACAAAAAATTTTATCAACCCCTTTAAAAAAATTCCCCCCCCCCTAAATTTTTTTACAGTGAATTATGTCAAAACCTTGAACAGCTTGAAGGTGGAAGGTTTAAAATGTATTAGTGAGGTTTGGATTTTTTTATTTATTCTTAAAAATCAAAATAAAAGGGCTAGAAAATGCCTGCTCTCTCTTCTTGTGCTCCTAATTTTCCAGGGAAATTGAAAACTGCAAATCAGCTAAAGAGAAGATACAAGTCAGAGTAAAAATTCACTGCTCTTTATTAAATTTTGTAAAAAAATTTATATTTAAAAATAAATTAAAAAAGAAAGTATTAATTCAAAAATATGTTCCTGTAGTGTTTATTCAAGAATATGTTTTGATATGTTTCGATCAATCAACAAGAAGCTGGTAGTTCTGGACAGTAAACGACATTCTCAATCTAAAGAATTATGGTCCATTATGAAAGGAATGGGATTAGAGATTCCTCTTATTTCTATATATTCTTTTTTTTGTTATTTGCAGTTCCTTCCTAAATATGCAAGTTCTTTTTGAAATTTTCATTTCAAATTAGGATATATCTTAAATTGATAAATTACTCGAAAATAAGTTAAATCAATTAAAGATCCTAACCTTGGTTTTCCTGTTATATTATACAAGTCCCAATAAACTTGGGAATTAAGAAGCTGTCATAATTTACAGGTTTATGCTTTCTGAAATGTGGTCTGCCTTTACAATTGAAAATAACATATGATCTTAATTTTTATTGTGAACACTCTGTTGATATTGTGCAAGAAATTAAACAAAAAACTTTTTAACTTTAAATATTAAAGAATTTTAGGGTCAAGGATTACCTAATTAATAGAGATGGCAATTAAATAATGCTTAAATTTGTATTGGTTTTATCATTCTTAATTATTGATAGTTTACGAGATCATGCCTGTGTTTGGTTAGCTTGGTTTAGTTTAGGTTGAAAGCTCAAAATTGTGCCCAATGTATGGAATTGATAGTTTACGAGATCGTGTCCATCTGACATTGATAGCTCAAGATTGTCCGGTTTGACATTGACTGTTGAGTTATACCTGGATTAATACGGGTTTGAAAAACCCTTATAGAATAGGGAAATTACTACACATCCACCAAAAGTGAGTTCATTGTGTTTTATAGAATTTGATGTATTCTGAGTACTAGATTCTCTATTGGCCTTACCTTGCTTAAAACCCGTAATCCCTTGTTTTGAGTAACACTTAGGATGATATCAAAAGTTGAAAATCATGTATGCCCTAGGTACTTCAGAAAAGAAGTCACAATTAAAGATTATTAATTTCAAGCAAAAAATTAAGGATTTTTCATTCACTCTTGATTGTCAACAGATGTGTAACTCATTAAGAATCACTTAAAATGTAGTCCCTTAACTGAGTTTAAAATTACACTCAATATGATTTTTATTTTAGTAATTTATCTTGCTATTGATAAAACTCAATTCTACCATTTTCACTTTAGATCCATATTAATTCAAGATTAACAAACTTCATACCTTAAATAAAGTATTTTATCCAACTTGCTAGTTAAAAGTTTGTTCAACATTTTATTTTATTTAAGGAAAATGAAGCTGAGGTTTCATTATGGGAAATTGAACAAGAGGATCCATCCAAATTTAGGTAAATTTTTATCTTAAACAAACCTAATAGTTGTTTATGAAAAATGAATTGACACCTTTTTTCAACCTCAATTTGTAAAAAGGAAAGAATCTTAACAAAATTAAAAGTGACCTTTGCTCCATTTAAGAATGTTCATTATTTACCTTTTTCCTGGTCAGAAAGTTAAATGATGTAATGAACTTTGTAGTAGTTTAATCTTTCGAACAGAGATCTGCACCATTTTGGCTCCCTAGCAAATATCATTTATATATTCAAAAAATTACTTTTTGCTCTCATATAACAGATCTCAAGTAGTTTGGTAGAAGCCGCTAAAAAATGGAAAGTATAATTTGATACTATTGTTATCCATCTGCTAAACAGTAGTACCAAGTTGTTAAATATTTCCAATAGATGTCAGGTATAAGATAAGATAAGATAAGATAAGGGAGGATC